AGGGCGTCCCCGAGGCCCGAGGCTTGGCCTGCTCGCCCTGCCCCGGAGCTGTGGGGAACGGGTCGCTCCGTGTCTCTGTAGCGTCTTCCGAGGTGCTTGGAGATTGTGGTATGCTGGAGGTGTCTCTCTCTCCTCAGTCCTTTCTGTCGGGCATCCCGGTTTCCTCGGCTTCATGGTGCAGGTCACAGTAACGTAGCACCTGTTGCTCCCCTCTATGCTCTCTGCAGTCATTGCTCTTCTGTAGTTGCTGCACTTTCCCCTGGGTGTGGAAAAATGGTGGAGTTGTGCCGAGGGAGCACTGGTCACTGCTGGCCGTATCCCTGACTTCAGAAGAGAGACTGATGCAGGTGCTCAAACTGCAGAGCTTTGCTCTCTGCTAGAGCCCGTGGGGGTAAATTGCAGAGACCTGTGTCACTGAAGGAAAGAGAAACAGCGTTGCCTGTGTTTTGCTTACTGCCCTGCAGTTGAACAGTTAACATGCTAATTGTTTTACTCAGTTCTTCTAGGTTGTCTGTCTCCTGCTTGCTGCTTACGTATGATTCTTTCTAGAAAGGTGCTCGGCTTTTTTCTTTCCTGTTCCCCTTACTTACCCATATATAATGTGCATTTGTTCATTGCTTGTCACTATTTTATTTTGCTTGCAGTGTGTTTGTGTTCGCTTATTTCTTCTAAAATTATGATAAATAGAGTTGCCCTTCACATGAGGTTGGATTATCTTAAGATTGAGGGAATGTAAAATTCCTGAGTTTCTTGAATGTATTCATATGTTCTACTAATGCCAGGCAGACAATACTTAGTTCATTAGTTTTTAAGTTGTTAAATTGCAAAATGATATTCATATGCTTGTCAAATGTTTTTTCTGTATTAATCAATGATACTATGTCTGCTGATGATGAATTGTTGTCTTGAGTGAAATTTTTAAGTATTAAGCAAATAAATCGGTTTTGGTAAATATCTGAAAAAATAATATTCTGTAACACTTAAGTGTGTGTATTATGCTACACCTTACTGATAGGATGTGAAAGCTTTAAGGTGTACAATGCCCTCTTGAAGCCAATCAGCGTGTTCTGTTTGCCAGTAATTTTTTAAATGCTTTGCACAGTTTGGCTGCGCACACCAAGCTGTCCAAGCCTTAGCAAAACCTGCAATATCTACTCTCGAACTCACCTCTTTCTTGTAGTTACGAGTGGCTGCCCAGTACTGCTTTATCTGGTCAGCAGGGGGCGAAATGGAGCTTGATTTTTCTTAATTGGAGGTGAGCAAACGGACTGAAAACTAGAGTTTTTTGCTATCGTCTGTGAGTCCCTTGAAAAACTAGAAATTTTTACTGCTGGTGGTGGAAGTTAAATTAGTATTGGTTAGTCTTGGAAAAGAGATAATTTTTTTTGTGTGAGTAGTGAACTCCACGTAGGAACAAAGAGGTGACTGTGTCTTTGTGTGACGATCTGGGAACAGTTAGTGTGGAATCTCGTGCTGTACCAATGTCACTTATGATTCATGGTTTGCTTTAGGAAGCCTGAGGCTTGTGGTTGAATTAAAAAGCCCTTTCAACATAAACTATAAAGGACTTCAACAATTTTATTTTGTGGGTAGTCAAATGTGTCAATCCTCCTTATCAAGACAGGTGAGTTCACAGTTTTCCAGATAAACTGTGCAGGAACAAAGAACTCTTGTGTTCAGCAGAAAAGACTGTGGTCTTGTCTTGCAGGTGGTTAGCATCTGGTAGCCTTTTCCCTCTGTCATGCATCCACACAAGCACATCTCTGGAGAAGATTGGGAAGTGGGAGAAGAAGAACAGGATTGTTTACCCTCCGCAGCTGCCCGGAGAACCTCGCAGACCAGCTGTAAGGATACACCTGTGAATTTCCTTACCTGTTTAGCAATTTCTGAACAGATTGTCACTGTCTTTGAGAGACTCCACAGGTTTGATAGCTTATTCATTTGTTACTAAAGATTTGAGTCAGTTTGGCATATTTATATTGTAAAAGTTAACATCACTTTGAAGGCTTTCCATTTCTTAATTATATTGGATCTTCAGATTGCTTGTAGCTGATCACCTACCTAATACGTGACGCAAACTGCAAAGGTACCATCCACTGTTTGTAGAAGTCTGAGCTACAAGGAGGTAGAAGTTACTGAGGATATACCATTATAAACTTGCTTGGTTTGTACTGATGGTAAATAACTAGAGAAGAACGTGATTGTGTTGTTGTTTCTGTGCACAAGGATAGAAATATAACTTTACGTGAGTAGTGGAACTAGTGGTGCCTGTTTGATGTAGGTACAATAGAATGCACATTCTTTTCACTGAATTTCTCTGTGTTACAGATTCTCTGAGGTCTGATAATGTGTTGCCTCTTGCTGTGACCTTCCTCTTAGAGCTGTTCAGAGGTTGTTTTCTGTCATAGTGGTTGCTTGAAATGTTTGCTACAGACTGAGAGATTCTAAAGTTACGTGGGGAGGGGCAAGTGGGTATATGCATGTGATTGCAGAAGTGTGTTTTTTTTTCTTAGGGAACCATTTTATATGTACTGTACAGTGGGGTTGTTTCTTCAGTCTGTTGCATAATAATTTGCATTTTACTAAACCATAAACTGAAGTGAAGAATCTAAAATCTTTTTGTTACCTGTGGGCTCGGTGTAGGCCCTTCTGTTGGCTGATCAAGACAACTTTTGGAAAAGTCACCCTAAGAAACATAGTCAATTTTTAAAATGCAGTCATAACAGTTAAGTTTTTGATAACAGCAGGTTTGTGCCTGTTTCTCCCTCTCCTCTCTTATTGATCATTTTATAACGGGAGTACAGTTAAATGTGAGCAGAAGCAAGCCTCTTAAATTAAGTCGTGCATGAAAACTTAAGTGTTGTGGATTTGATTGAGGTGAATTCTTCAGTATTTCCTCACTCTGGAGAACTGATATTTTTGGAATTCCATTTTTGTAGCTGTTCTTCCCTGGAAATTAATGTGTTGTGGCCTCTGTTAGGCATACTGCTCAGCAAAGTAAAGTATTTGCATCTCGAAAGAATAGGGGTTTTTAGACGTGTCCTTTCGTGGGCCATGAGCATTTATTACTTCTGTGAACATTATGGCCTAGGACATAGAAATACGTGCTGTGTACTTTGCTGACTAGTGCAATGTATGTGAAAATGCAGTTATCAGTCATCTTGCTTATTAAATCAATTTTTTATCTGTTCAAATTTGTGTTGATGTGAAATTTTACTAGCTGGTTTTGGTCCCTGTTGGTACCGTAATAATGTTAAATGGCTCTTGGGAGACAGCTCTTCATGCCAATCATGCTTGAAACCCTGTCCACTTCTGAAGAGCTAATTAAGTTCATTCTGGTAATATTGTTTAGTTGCTATCCCAGTAAGTTGACTTGACAGCAGAGTAATGTTTAAGACTGAATGAGCATGCTAGTCTTGGACTGCTTCAGAAGGTGGGGAGGAGGAGAGGAAAAGATGATGAAAAATCCTCTGATTACCCTTTTCAGTGACTTCTGTTTATAAACTGATTCTCATAAGATTGTATTAAAATTTTCTGTGTGCTAGCTGCTTTTTTATGATTCTTTCGAAGGTATACCTGATTTGCTATGTTCATGCTATAGTGGGGGAAGTCGTACTTACTTTATTCCTAGTAAGAGAATAGATTGTGGAGCAGATGTGTATGCTCCATTCTTGTTTTCACAGCAAAATTACTGATCCTCTAACTTTTTTTTTGCACCTAGGAAATATATCACTGCCGGAGGGACATAAAGTACAGCAAAGATAAGATGTGGTATCTGGCAAAACTGGTAAGCAGAAAGTACTTGGTACTGTATTTCTTAGAACACAAAATTTGATTGCTCTATTTGCCTTAACAGCCTAGTTCAATCACAGTCTAATCAGCATCTTCATAATAGAGTCGTGGGGAAGAGCTTGCATCTGTGCAGGCGAACAGTTGTTTGTAGTTTGGTTTAGCTGCTTTATCCTAGTATGGTCTCAAGTGTGTACCCAGGATCGTATGCAGATTATGCACCATGTGAGAGTTTTCATGTTGATTTCTTCCTAGTGGT